GCTGGTGACGTTGTTCAACTATCTGGTATGAATTTTTTAGGCGGGATCCCATGCAACAACACAATCAGAATGCCATCTTTCACATAAGAGTCCCTCTTTTCATCAGGAGTGTCCTCCTTTCACATGAGAGTCCCCCCTCTCACACTAGGAGACCCTCTTCAAATCAGAAGCCCCCCCCCCCTTCACATCAGAGTCCCCCTCTTTCACATCATGAGTATGACGTTGTGTGAAAATTCCAAGGCACCCTTGAGGAAGCCAGAAGGCACCCGGGTTGAAAAAGGCTGACCTAGAGATGTCATGATGTAAAATAATTTTCCTCATGACTATAAAAATCCTTTTTCAATATGTTTATATATTTTATAGTGAATAAAATTGATATATAGATGTTACATATGTAAGTGATATCTGCCTTCCAGTCCTTGGTGAGGTGCGAGAACAGGCTTGGCAAATAGTGACATACACCTACCCAGGTCACATTCCATAGGGTCATGTAATATGGGGCAATTCACAGTCACATGTCCATGGCACCGCCAGCATGTAATATGCTCTGTCTCTCAAGAAGGAGACTCTTTGGGTTAGGATGTTGTTCATATCTAGCACGCATGGGTGTCTCACCCCCTCCTTAAAGTGAAACTGAAGGTTTTTTTTAGTTTTGGATAGAGTGGAGAGGGATTAGAACCCATGTCAGATTTGTATTGTTATCTGTGTCCCTGTTACCAAGATTTACTCTCTCTATTTGTGCAGGTAAACATTATCACTGAAAGTGAATGCCAAATTTTGCGTTGTCACCAGAACAAAAATAGATGAGAAATCTTCCAATGACAAAACTAGTTCTGGTGACCCTGCTGACCCCCAGGGATTTCGTTTACTTTGGAGGGATTTCCTCTCACATTCTGTTGTGCCTATCGGACAGGAAGAGAAATCTCCACTATGGGACAAAGAGGGCAGAAAAGCTCTATCCAAAACGAAAAAAAAAAACGTTTTGACTTCAGTTCTGCTTTAAAAAAGGAATGGGTTAAATAAAACTTTAGTGAAAATATATTATAAAAAATTCTGAAAATTTACATTTAGCTGCCAGTTCCAACCAAATATTTCTGTACTAACCTATCCTCTTATTACATAGCCACTCCTCAACCCAGGGGCATATTTACCGCAAGGCAAACAAGGCGTTTGCCTGGAGCGGCACTTTGCATTTGGCGTTGGGCGCACAAAATCAGGCAGCCTTGGCTGCCAAATCAGGTGGTTGCTGGTGGGGCCTGGCAGCGAGCTGCCGGTTGAAAGAGCAGGCGGAGACGGGTCCGGGACCGAGGGAGAAGGCTGAGGGCGGCTGGAGGAAGAAGCTTTGGCGGATCCAGGCTGGAGGAAGAAGCGGCATGTCCTGGAAGCAGGCTGGGAGCTGCAGAAAAGAGAAGCATCATGTGTGTGGGGAAAGGGACCATGCACAGCCCATCATAGATCCAGCACACCCCACCTGACTGTAGGGTAGGTTGGGCTGTGCAAAGTCTATGGTGGGCTCTGCAGGGTCTCTGGTGGGGTTTGCAGGGACTCAGGTGGGCTGTGCAAGGTCTATGGTGGGTTGCTCAGGGTCTTTGGTGGTCTCAGCTTGAGACCCTGAGAGCCCACCAGAGATCCTTTACAGCACGACTGAGACCCCGGCTTCCCTGCAACACTAATAGCACAACCAGTCAGAAACTGTATCCAGCGACTGACAGGTTATGCAAAATGTCTTGAACAGGAAGGGGCGGGACAAATTTAAATGGAGGGTGCCGAGTTTCGTCTTGCCTAGGGCAGGACAAAACATAAATACACCGCTGCCTCAACCTAGGCCCTGTAAAGTGAAATCTGTGTGCTTCCCTTTTGCTCTGGTCAAAATGTGAGAAACACAGAACTCTGTGTTCACTGTCATAACAAGTCGTATTTGTTTCAAGAACACGTGCATTCATCTCAAGAACAGGTCAGTGATGAAAATGGAATTTCACAAGTCAGTGATGAATCTTTCACTTGCTACTAAAGCTGGGGAGAGTTTGGGAAAAGCTCTCTCCCTGTCAGCGCACAGCACCTAAGCATCCCCGCTCTCAAGAGCAGAATTGCAGAGCAGATAAGAACTGTCTCTATTAACTAAGCTAAGTGATTTCACGATGACAAGTCCAAACCAATGACCGTGGGAACTGATGAAAACCATTTTCGGATATTGTGCCAACTTCTAGGACATGAACAATCTAAGAAATCATGGAACGTCAGTCAGGCTCATCGGAGTCTTTAAACTTTTTCAGGAAAGCTAAATTTTTACAGCAGAATAAGTGCAATAGTCCCCAGGTGAAGAGAAAGGGCATGGTTAGGTATGTATTGGACCGCACTGCAAAAAAAAAAAAGTCTCTGAAGATGAAAAGGACTTATACTCCAGTCCTCCTAACTTTTTTATCTTGAAGACCTACATCAAACAAAGAAAATTCTGCATTCAAAACCCTTTCTGCCTATTTTCCCTGCTAAGAACTGTGGTTCCATGCTCCGGCCTGTACCTCAATGCTGGGTCCTATATCGCCGTAGTCATCAGAGGATGAAACCACAGTTCACAGTAGGGGGGACCAGGCATTCAACACTCCCAGAAGTGTGCTGGATGTTGAATATCATTCAGTTGTCATAGCTCTTTAAGACAGCGAAGATAGAAGGTAAGGGTGGCATAGTGATGAGTATAATACCTTTTCTTTTGCAGGGACCTTTTTGGGACTTTTTATTTATTTGCAATGACAGTGCTTCTTTAAAGTGACACTAAACTCAGGAGTTAAATCTTAAAACTGAATTCAGGTACCTCAACTATTAACAAAAATGTATCTTCTTTGTGTATCACTCGGCTGTAGATTCTCAAATCATCTCTGAATTGGTGCTGACACTGTCCTTCCTTCTGAAAGGGGGCTACTTCTGTACACCATGGTCCCTGTGTGTGTTGTAAAGTAGACAACCCTCCAAGCTCGTGATGGACTACAATCTCATGTTTAGTTTACTTATTTGTATTGAGATTGTAGTCCATCATGGGAGCGAGCTTGGAGTGGTGGCTACTGTACAACATACAGGGACCATGGGGAACAAAAGTAGCCTCCCTCCAGAAGGAAGGACAGTGTCAGTACCAGTTATATTTTTGTTAATAGTTGAGGAGCACTTGAATACATTTTTAAGATTTAACTCCTGAGTTTAGTGTCACTTTAAAGTAGATCTAAACCCCAACATTTAGTTTGTGGTTACACTGTGCACCATAAACAATGCTTTTGTATTTTAGAACACACGAACTAGCGATGTTCGAGTCGAACTCATGTTCGACTCGAACATCCAGCCCAACACTTCTCTTTATCTAATGTGAAAATCCCACCTTTAATAACTTCCGGACTGCAATATGTAAATATACGGCGGCCAACAGAAGTCGTTATACCAACAACACGGCTGCTGCAGCAGCCATGTTCTTGGTATAATTCTAAACAGCCAGATCGTTTGTACCAACCATTGGAATGTGC